CGGTACTCAGCAGCATTCCTGTGTCACAGCCTGCCCTAAGCAGAGCAGCACCTCATTCCCCAGGGGCCTCGACTGTGACTTTGGGGGATTTCCTGCACATTTTATGTGCACATTACCCAAACTGGAGCCCTGTGCGGAGTGGAGGAGCAGTTTGGGCAGCTTGTGGGAGCAGCGCATGAAGGGTGGGAGAAGAGGCACGAGCAGAGGGGGCTGTCACATCAAGCAGAGCTTTGCAACCTCACGTCCCCTCGTGCAGGATGACAGGGCTTCCCATCCCGTGCGGAGCAGCCTGTGCGGCGGCCCGGGGACAAAGGCGCCTTGGGGACAGCTATTCGCGGGGCCACGCTGTAGGTGGACGGCAGCGGATCAGAAGGAAATGCTATCTCTCGGGGCAAGTTCACAAGGACAGATGAAGCGAACTGGCACGGACTGAGAGTGCCCATACACGCCCGGGAGAACAAAGTGCTCAGTGTGGGCGCTCACCAGGGCCTTTTCTTCCCTGCAGGACCACAAAAGTTCAGCATGAGACCAGGGGCCACGTGTTGGCCGTCAGTTCACTACAAAGAGCGTTTGAGCCCGGGATGGGGAGTCTCAAAAACATTATTGTCTGTGTCCTGGGGCATTTGTTTGCTGGGGCAACACAGGACTGAAAAAATGTGACCCTCTCCGCAGCTGTGCCTCGGTGCTCTCGTCACACATCGGCCACCACGCGCGGCCACTGCCAGCCACCTCCGCCGGCGCCCCCGGCTCTTCCGCAGGTCGGGACACAGAGGTGCAGGGGTCCCGCCTCGCTCTGCGGCGGAGCTCAGGGCTTTGCTGCAACCCTCCTACTTGGGACCCTCCGCAGCGCGGCCCTGATGGCAACGTGCCCAAGTCCTGGCAAGCAGCCGGGCTGCCCTTCTGGGGCTGTGGGAGGATGAAGTTGGGTTGGAGCGCACAGGACCTGGTGGATCCTCCTGTACTTACATGGGTGCTCCATGCGAGTGTGTTCATGGCACCTCTGGGTCTGCTGCGACCTTCCTCAATCAACAACACTTCACCAAAAAGTGTCTGTAAGGTTTTGATCTAGTTAAGCCTATGGCCAGACTGCATAAGGTGCTTGGAAATTTGTGGGACAGTTTTCAGGAGGGTTTGTTTGGCACTTGGATGGTCTGACTTGCAAGAGGTTCAAGCGTGGTGTGCGACAACCCCAGGACAGCTCCAGAGTGGCCCAGGCCCCAGGGAAGGTGTTTCTGTGCCCCACGAGTGGACCAGCACCCCACAGGAAGAACCCAGGTGTGGGTGCTAATCCAGGCCCAGCCTTGATCTAGTTAAGCCTATGGCCAGACTGCATAAGGTGCTTGGAAATTTGTGGGACAGTTTTCAGGAGGGTTTGTTTGGCACTTGGATGGTCTGACTTGCAAGAGGTTCAAGTGTGGTGTGGGACAACCCCAGGACAGCTCTGGAGTGGCCCAGGGAAGGTGCTTCTGTGCCCCATGGGTGGACCCACACCCCACAGGAGGAACCCAGGTGCGAGTGTTAATCCAGGCTCAGCCAGGTGTGGGTGTTAATCCCAGCCCTGACCAGAGCAATCAGCTGGGAAGGAGAAGTCTCAAATGCCCTGGAGCAGCAGCAGGGGAAGGAGTGCCAGGTGTCGGCCTGTTGCTTTGTTGCCTGGAGCTGTCAGGTAGGAACGGGGCTGAGGAGTGGGATGGGGACACAGGGCAGGAGGGTCTGGAGAAGCCTCCCTGGGTGGCTCTGGACTGTGCGGCTGGGTCTGGTGCTGCTGATGTTCCCTGGAGCCCAGAGCCAGGCCCCGCGGCGCTGAGCTCCCCGCCGTGTGCGGCCCCGCCACGGTCGCTGCTCTCACAGAGATAAACTGGCCGTTGTTGCCAAAAATAAATGTTAGTGCTCTGAATCCACACTTCAATAGCACCAGCTCATTAGAGATGCATATCATTTGGCTTCAGTCCCACACCTTCCAGCTCGTTATAAATATGCAGTTGCTGCTGGCTCTACCCCAATCATCTCTGCAATCAGAGCTTTTAATTAGGTTAATTAAATTGTATCAAACCTCACAGGGACGCAGTTCACTGATGCTGATGAGGCAGCCAAAACAGACCTTAGCTCTGGCTCTAATGAAGGCCTTGCCACAGCTAACGACAGCGCATAATAAATTAGCGCTTCCCTAGAAAGGTGCGTTGGGGCAGCTGCTCGGGTGCGTGAGGAGCTGTGTGCGCTCGATCCTGCTTCCCGGTGCTTCCCGCTCCAGGTCAGCGGAGCCAAGGGTGCCCGGGCACTGTTGGGCTCCTGCCTGGCCCTTGGGCTCACGGGTGTCCCTGGGGCTGCCTGCAGCCTGGCCCCACTCTGGGCAGGTGAGTCGTTTCCTCTGGGATTTATTCCCATCCTATGGGACTGGAGACCCATTGCTCCGTTGGGAGGGGATGGCCAGAACCAGGGAGGTGCCTGGCAGGGGCACTGAGATGGGCAGCTGTGCTGAGTAGCAATCAGTGGCTGCTATTTTGCATTGCCCACCCTCCTCATCACGGTGTGAGAGGCCACATCTTGAGCAGAGGACCACAGTGACATGGGGCTGCGCTGCTCTCCAGCTCCTGCAGCCTTGGCCCAGCGATGCTTCTGCTGCTTGTGCAGCAACTGTTGCTGTTGCCTGGAGGTGCAGACTGCCATTAGCTTTTATACGTGGTCATTATCAATCGAGCTCCTCAGCTTGAAGGAGGAATTACATGAAATTACTGTACAGTGGAATATTATTGAGTCACCTGAAACCGGAGTGGTGAACCCGTGGGGTGTTTTGATATCTGTATCTTCCAAGCTGCAGGGAATCTCCTTGCTAGAGAACCGGTTGGTTCAGCCTCTGATGCTGTAATTACGGCAAGCAGAGAACAGCTGCGAGCGCTGTCCTTGCCCACAGGGCCAGCAGGAGGGTGGTGGGTCCCACCAGCATCTCCTCACCCCTGAGCGGTGGCGGGGTGCTTGGTTTGGTTATGAGGCACTAACTCTTCCTGGTCTCTGGCAGAAGCATTTCAGTACTTTAAGATAAGGCAACTGCACTAAGGACTTCAGGGGTGGAAATGAGAGCAAGGGCTGGCAGAGGGCCTGGAGGGAAGGGTATAGTGACGTGCCCTGAATGAGCATCTTTGGTCCTGGGACTGACTCATGGGGGAAATGGACCTGGGAAAGAGGCATTCTTGGCCACGAAGTGTCACTTCTGCTGGGGCTTTCATGATGCCACATATGACCACGTGCTGTGTCCTTGCGGTGGGGCATCCTGATGGGGTGTGGGATGGCAGATGTTCCCCAGTGCCACGCTGGGTGCCCTGCAGCCCTTGGCCTGCAGAGGGGTGGGAATGGCCATAGGAAGCGCTGGACCAGGGCCCAGTCACTTCTACAGCTGCTACTTCTGTGTCCTCCAAGGCTGCAGCTCCTTGGTGCAGGCAAGCAAATAGCAACACAAGTGACCCAGCTCCCAAGATACCCACCCAGGGTGTTGGCAGTAGTGATGTGCACCAACAAAAAGTCCCAAATTCGTGTATCCCAAATACATATGTGAATTCGCTTCTCTAAGCTAGCTGTCCCTTGCTCTCCGTGTTTCTCTGGGTAGTGCCAGTCTGCAGCTTCCCAGGTTAACGAGTAGCTGGGCTGACGTCGTGTCGTGTCCCGGGACCCCTGGCTGCTCCATGTGGCAGTGCCACCTCCTGCCACCCCACAGCCCTTGGGCCATCCTGCACCCCCCTTCCCCAGCAGCGTCGGGAAAACCTTCATAGGGAGAAGCGCGATGGTTCCCCCTTGTACCTCTATGCTGTTTCTGAGAGGAAGAAAAGGAACTTTTTTTTTGCTATGTAATTATTTTTCCTTTCAAGTTGTTCTGCATAGCTTCTATTCCATTCTCCTAGTAGAAGGGGAAGGCTTCTTATTCCATAGGCACAAGTCTTAACTGCTTTTAGAAGTGAAATACAGTCCTTCCCTTAATGTTTCCCATTAAGAAAAAAAGCAAATAGATAAAGCCACAATTCTTTTAACTTGGTGATCTTTGTAATTACAAGAAGAACTATATCCACTGCTACACTGAAGCTACACTTCAGCACCTGAGAAATTTTCATGCTTCCAGACAGGCTTGAAAAATCTTTGGATGTGGGAAGACTTTGAGAATCTTTTTTGACCATCTTGCATGGGCATGTGCTATTGGCAGCCACAGTGCAAGTGAGAGAGATAAGGGAAGGAATGTTTACGCCCCGGCTCTCCCGACTTGCCTGAACGATTCCAGGACACTCCAGGATGTCTCCATTGTTCTCGCTGGAAACCCTTCTCCAAGTACCAACACAGTGATGAGCACAACATAAACAGAGCACAGAGCAGGACAAAGCTCCGTCCTGCATTTGGCAGAAATCTCAGTACTGCCTCTCTTCAAAATTATTAAGTTCTACCAGAAAGTCCTTGTGGTAGGAGCAGTGCCCCTTTGTAAGATATGGGATAAAGCAAAGAAACAGCCATGTGTTTACACGTACTTCTTTGCAAGTACCAAAGTCATTCATAAAGGATGAAATCTCTCCCTTTCCTGCACACTGGAAGCACCAGTAGCACCATTCCTGACTGGCCTTTGGCTAAGATGGTGCCTGAATTTAGCAATGTGCTCTCAGCAATGCCTTTCACCTATAACGTTTCGAGGGGAAACACTTTCTGCAGATAAAACAACAGAATAAGCAAAGACAGTTGGTGGAAAAAAAGGAAAAAAAGTGTTTAGAAAGATAACATTCAACTTCAACCTAGTAGAAAACTGATCTAGAATCTTGTGTTTGTGGCCATGTGGTCTGCTGGCCACAACTGAGGGTAACAAAAAGCCCGGGATACCATTTTTGTTTGTGTGCTGCCTGTTCTGCATCTTAGTTTTGACGCTGACATTTCAAGGACTGTTTACTTCACTAGCACACTTGGGCACCTCTTGTGGGTTTACACTGGAAACACCATGAGGATAAACTCTTGATTTATTAATCCATTAATTAGATACATGTTTATAGCTACAGAAGGCCCACAGTAATTTGTTTTGACACAGCATTAGACTGCAATGGAAGTCAGACTGATGTTGACAGCCTATCAGTACTTCATAAAGACAATCTTCCTTCTTCTACCAAAGGTTACATTAATTACTTCATGGAACAGTTAACGTTTCCGCTGAAATTTGAACTTGTAAATAGCTGGACTGTTTGTTGTCTCTTTCTTCACCTTCACTTTCTGTGTTTTGTCCTGGAAGAGAAAGAAAAAAAAATCTAATATGAGTAACACAAGCTCTGCCTGTGACTGAAGAGGTGTCAGTGACAAGTGAGTATTTTCCACTATTCAGATAGGGATTATAATTCCATTTGCTTTTCTGCCTTTGGTTTGTCAGGTACAATCTGTTCTGCTCACAGGCACCAGAGGGTGGCAAGCTCAACTAAAAAAAGTAGTTTTTGGTCACTGGGATTTAGAAGATTTTCTTGAAACCTATAAAACTGCTTCCTTCCCTCTGCTACATGAAAGCATTATTCTGATACTTGAGAGGTGACAGCAATATTATTTGCTAAATCTTTGTCCTTTCTAATATGGTAGAGTTGTGATAGCAGATAAAATTAAAGTTACTAGTCTGTTACAAATGGAATGCTCTGAAACCCTCTCCTTGCATTCTTCATACCAAAGTTACCTTTAGGAGTCACCTAGAAATGTCAGTAGAAGACTGAAGTAATACATATAAAAACTAGACTTAAAAACAGTACAGATCCAAAACAAAACATCCCTCACCAAAAGGTCTTTGCGTGTCTGAATTTTCTGTGCAATTACAAACATTGTCTTTTCTCGCTCAATACGCTGCTTCAGGAGGTCATACTGATTCTTCCTTTGTTTGGCTAATTTCTGGAGAAAAAACAAAGGCATTTTTAAGACAAAGAAACAAAACATGAGTCTGGAATTGATCTCAGAGGTTTTTTAGCATTTTAAATCTTAACAGTTTTACTAAAGAATGTTGCTTTTATTCTGTGGCTAGATTCCAGAAAATTGTGTAACATTGTTATCAGACTTGAGGTTTTCTAGTCAGGGCTTGATTCTCCTTGCTTGTTTTAATCTCTTAAATCTAAACCAGAAAAAAAAAAAACTTCTAACCTGGCTTGAATATTATGGAGCCTTGTTTGGTAGGTGGTCTCTGGAAACCTCTCTTTTTTTTTTTTTTTTTTTTTTTAAGTCATCTGAACTTTAATGTTGAGTGTAAGAGAAAATTTAACTCTGAAAGGAAAGCTCAAAACTTTTATTCAGAGTGGGGAGGAAAAAAGACCTGTGACCAATTCCTGAAGTGCCTAGAAATTACAGAGGCCACCCATCATGCAATTTGTTTGGTCATGTTTATCTGCTAAGAACTGATGGCTTTCCCAGCACAAAATAGTATTACTGCAGGTGTGATTTAAGTAATAATATCCAAAAAGAACAGTTCCCAACATGCTTACAATATGACTCAGACACTCAGAGAAGATATATCAATCTAAAACTTGTCCAACTGCTTTACTGACAAGTCAAAATGAGAAAGCTGGCTACAAGGAAGGCATCTGAATCAGAAGACAACAGACTACAAATTTACTAATCGGCGATTTCAGACAACTTTATCTTATACCTACTGACTCAAGCTTTTAAGAGTCTCCACTATATCAAACCTGCTTAGGCATTTACAGTGCTAAAGGCAAATCTAGCTACTTCAGGACTGAACTGCTCTGGTATTAAAACATCAGAATCAAAGTCGATTTTGTGTAAGTAATTAATGCTGAAGAATTATGACACATTTTAATTTAGGAAAGCTAAGAAATGAGAGCGCAGCTTAAATGTCTTTGAGAAGAAAAGTGGGGGGAGAGCAGAAAGAGATGAGCCCTGAATCTCAAATCATATTATGCTCAAAACCTAACAGTAAAAAAAACAGTATGAGATCAGAATCCTAAATATTTTTATTTCTGCAAGGCAAAAATTACTATGATTGGTCACAGATATATCTATATTGGAAGAAGCTTCTTCACATCCCTTATCCAGAGGTAAGAGGGTATTTTTCACTTGTGGAGAGGACTTAACAGTGGGATGCTGTAAAAACTTAACTATGGCAATCTAATAAAAAGATATTCCCATAGGTATATGCTGTGTAACAGGAGAAATCTATCAAGTTTCTCAAGGAACATCTCTAATCAGATCTATAGCGCTCCACTGTGGCCCATAGTTCTGCAGAGTACTATAGATTATTTATAGATTATTTTTATTATTTCTGCAGAGAAATACAGATTATTTTATAATCTATAGCAGTCTGAGATATAAATGAACAAATTCTCCACATTGGTCCAGGATTTGACTATAAAGCTACAGATACTTCATGACTGTGACATACAGTATAGCCCCATGTCTCCAATAAAAATTCTAGGAAAGCAGAAAAACTTTGTGCTTCTCCAAAACATGCCAGGGAATCCTTTTGAGGATTTATTGCATAGAAGATGTAAAGTGTAAAGAGACCTATAATACAAACAGTGGCAGCACAAACTACCTTTAGGTGGGCAGGATCAGTAGCTCCTTTCAGTGACTCTTTCTGTAACGTTGCAATGGTCGGGCGGTTGTACACCCTGTCTACCAGCTCCGGAGCGGTGTTCAGATGAGTTGCAATATCAAACTCTTGAACTAAAAAATAAAAAAACACTCAAAACATCTGGACTAATACTCATTAAACCATCCAAACGTAGCTTATGTACAGTCAGTAATGGAGAGTGCCCTAGCGAGACAGCTCCTGTGGAAAATAAGGCCTCCTCTAGGTAT